TCGCGATAAACACCCTCCGTCGTTTGGCCAAGGAAACGAATATCCTGGGCAGTAAAAATCAGTCTTTGTCATTGTAGAGCTACTTACAACTTACTGCTGGGCTCTGCTCGCTGGTCATTCGGCCAGAAATACGGTGTAGGTTCCATTCCTCTTGGAATTCCCGGCAGTCTTCATTCAGCGCCGGTAGAAATAATCGATGCAACAGCCACAAGTGACCGGGGTTCTTACGGTCCAAGTTGTGGAGCCTTCCCAGTCGTGTAAAGAACGCCCGCCAGCGACGCGCAAATTGCGTCCCTACTTCTACCCACAATCGCTCTATACGGGTATTGTGTGTAGACCTGAAATGTGTTAGGATGTGAAGACTAGAAGATAAATCAAATTGAAACGCACGAGCCCCACATGAAAGACGCCCGCCCAGACCCGCGGTGCATGACCATCCATATTGCTACTTTGGTGTTTTCACCGCCGCGGTCGCCGCGCACTCGTGACGGCGTACCGTACGCTTGCATCGCCTCCATGAACACCTGGAGTACGGTGATGGCAAGATTATTTGTGCTCGCCCTCAAACCAGTTACCTTTAAAGAGAGACGGTGATGTCAAGGCGGAAACCGATAAGCAGTAAAAGAATGCTTACCGTTCTACAGTAGCCGTCGATGATACCGTGTATCACAATACCCCACCAAATCAGCTTGTGGTGTCCGTCGCAATGCCACAGATAATTTGGGCGGGGGACTTTGTAACGACGATGTTTAATGGCCAGGCGTGTTCTGAGCGCCTGCCCGAGGGCGTCAACTCGTTTCAGAGAGTGCCGTGCTCGCTCTTTCTGTACGCGAAGGCCATTGCGGCGGAAGTGACCCCGGAGGTAGCGCAGCCCTGATGTGGGCTTTTTAATCTTGTATTGGCGAGTTATTGCATCCAGCTCATCGTCGTCCATAGTGTTGAATCGCTTTTCCACTCCGAGCTCTCGCATTTTCTTTCGAAGCGTGTGGCGATGAATCTTGAGGGTGGCCGCTAGAGTACCCAGTTTAATATTGCGATTGGAGGAGGTGGCCTCCTTGAGGTACTCTGTGTCGACATGTTTTTGCGGCCGGCCTGCTCGGCCTGTCCGTTCTTCAGACATGGGCTGAAGGAGCTCTATTTCATCCCTCTCTCTTACATGGATAGTTAACGAGTGCAATCTGCAATTTGAGCCAACTTACATTCCTTCTGCAGCGAGTGCGGACACCTGTAGCTCATAGACGAGCGGTCCAAAAATATTGGCACAGGCATGAGTCCACCGCTGCGGGACATCGCCTTCCATTCCCTCCAAAACCGGAATCATTGAGTCAATTATATTTGAGGAAAGAAGCTTGTAACGGAGAGGATCACTGTCCTCCTCTCGAAGCGTTTGTAATGCTCGGACATAGGCATTATTGAGAACTTGACGTGCAGCGATAACGTTGGCCGACCATGGGAGTGGGCTTGGAGGAAGTACGGGGATATTTTCCGGGAATGCAAAGGGCTCCATTGTCGTAGGAGGAGAAACGCGGACATCACACGATCGCTACCGCTACCCTTTGTTCTCGTCCTGCCGTCATGTCGAGGCACGATTGGCTGTATTTTGCGGACGGAACTCTCACTTTGCAGGCAAGAGACGTAACATTGGTATAAAGCCATATCTAATTTTTTGCAGGCTGTGGACGGCACACTGTTCAATGTTTATCGCCACCACCTTATTGCCAAGAGCGGTTTCTTCAGTGGCATGCTCACCTTGCCCAATCCAAACCAACCTACACCCACACTCAAGGCCAGTAACGGTACCAGCGATAGCACGGTAGTACCGCTACCAAGAAATTTTACAACGGTGGAATACGAAAAGTTCCTAAACTTCATTTTCAATATCGCAAGGTGCATCCGGAGCCGGTTCTAATGGGCAAGAAGCTAAATACCTACTGTCTGTTTGCAGCTGGAGCCCAGACATTCCCCTGGTCGCAGACCTCTGCGCCATTTTGAAGACCAGTCATTTCTTTGCGGTGGAATCAGGCGTCGAATATGCCGTCCATTTTCTCGAAGCCCACGCCAATTTTCCTGCTCCGTTGCAATTCAGGATGGGATGTGATTATAGTCTAGTGGACTGGGTTACAGCTGCATTCGACGACCTCATGGCCATCCCCGTGAACGACATGACCCCCGAGGACGAGGAGCTTATTGGCGACAAGGCGTTCCGGGCGTTGGCGTTAACACAAGCCGAGGTTACCGACCATCGTATGTCCCTTGCTGTGTGTCCTCCGGTGCCCACCCATGCCACATGGTGCCGCAACCAGGAGTATTGTCAAACACAGTGGGATAATGCCTGGACGTTAATGGCAGGGCCACTAGGCTGGCTGTTCAAAGAGGAGCTCTCTGGTGCTGAAATCTACAAGAAACTTGATCTCTGGGTGCCGGCGGCGATGACGGGGGAGTGTCGGTTTCTGACCTGCACTCGCCTCGAACTAGACCTCACAAAAGAGGAGTTGATCATAGATAGGGCAGTTGCAGCACTCATTAAGCTGGTAGTGGTGTAGTTTGTCGTTGAAACGGGCAGCTGCGCCTGACTATGAAACTCGCTAGGATATGCCTAGGGAATGCGCACCAAATGCAACAAACCACTAACACACACAACTAACACAACTTCACTTTATACTCCCAAGAACTGGCGCACTCCTTGGTTGAGTTCGGGTCCGAGCCGTAGTATGCGACTACTGGTTTTGGATTCCTAGGGGCAACGAAAAGGTATCGATTTCTGTTCCACTACTGACACTGGTCCTACTCTCTGGTCTGTTCTTTTGGTACTACCACAGTCCTTGACACGAAACACTGCACACCGACTGGTGATTTATGAACAGGGTTTTTTTGGGGGGGGTAGGGTACTAGGGTTACCGAAGCAGCTCCTAGGCAAAGTTTGTAAAGTTTCCGTCTGAAAATCCCAATAGGGCTATGCTGCTTCCACAAGTACTGCCTCTCAACAAGACTAGGCCAGATAACCACCTTGCTGGACTTGCGTTTCCTGTACTAACGCAAGAACGTTTTCGTACGCTTTGGCTTTTTGGGGCCTAGGGACAACTATATTCACTGCAATCTACCGGTTCAATCTTCCACTGCGCTCAACCAAAGCGTTCTACCTAGCTAGCGCCTAACTTGGTGTTTAGGTCGAAACTAGCGCAGCCTCTGCGTTGCCAATGCGAAGTAACCGCGCAGCCAAAGCAACGGATAAGTCTTCCTTCCTAGCGCGTGTGGCCCTCGTAAATTTATACGTGGAGCAACGAACCGCCTCTTGTTCCAACGCAAAACTTAGTTGTTTATACTTGCACTGGTTCTTAGAGATATTCCACTTGAAATGTCACTGCGAAAATAGCCAATCAAAAACCAAGGTTCGATTCTACAGACAATACAGATACAGAGGAAAACTATGTTATTCTCTCCGCAGATCGCCCGAGGACACCCACACCGTTCTACGATGAGCGGGGATGAACTGAGCTATAGCGGCCTTTTCTGGTTCCTTTTATACTACTGAGTCCTTTGAGATGAGATAAGATGAAATGAGTAATGGAGTGGTGGTGTTTGGTCGTTCGGCAAGCAAGAAAACACTGCCGAGGTGATTCGTAAGTGCGGCCAGATGAAACAGTCAGCGTTGCTGATGCTTTCCTTGGCCTAGGTGGGTCTGGTATTTGCAATAACTGGCTGCCGACTGCAGCCGATCATGTGTCATTCTTCCGAGGCGGTTCCAAGTCGCCTAGCACACTCATTCATGTCTTATCATCCTCCGATAATGTCTGTTCGTTCGCAGTCTGAATTTCTTAGCAAGGAGACATCTCCCCATCATTGCCAATCATCTCCATTTGGCTTTCAAGGGTGCCGTTAGGCTAGTCCTTCTAAAATAGTCAGGTATAATCCGTCCCTAGGTACTGTGCGTTCTCTCCTAGGAGACTGGCTATCGTTTCCGATCCGTCTTCCTTGGTAGCATTTGCGTAGCCGATGGCCCTAGGACCTCGTCCTTGGCATCTACTTGGTTACTGCCGAGTTCTGTCCTCCTAGGCAAATGCTAGGTTCCTCTTTGTGCAGTCATTGGCTCTACATTTATAAACCCCTTGTTGTACTCCGTTCCTAGGCAGGAATATCCTCCTTGATAATGTACTTCAGATCCTGGTATCGCTTGTACTGCGTGCCTCATTCTCATTCATACCACAACCAGCAGTCGGAGCTCGCTCTGGTTCTCCTTTGTACCACCTGACAGAGTTCTGTTGATACAGAAGCTAGCTTTGTCTTCCTAGGAACACTAGTGTAACTAGTGGCTTAAAAAGCGCAAAGTTTAGCTAGATGGCAGTGCCTTGGTGTGGTGCCGTTCCATCGTAGTGGTCCAATGTTGCGTGCAAAACTTGGTCGGAATAGGACGCGAAAGTTGTCGAATAACGGTGCGCGAAAGGTTGTGAACATAATGCGAGAAATGTTGCTGTGAATCGCGCGCGAAAGTCGACGAAAAATGCGCGCGAAAGGTTGAGAATATGGCGCGAGAAATATTGCCGTGAATAGCGCGCGAAAGTCTTTGAAAGGTGCGGCGCGAAAAAAGCTTGAATCCTTGCGCGAAAAGACTCAGAAACGGCGCGCGCATGTCGATGGTGAAGATAGCGCGTGAAAGCAAATTGTATGGCGCAATTTGTACATGTTGCGCGAAATAATAAATGTACAAACTGAACGTCATAAATATGAGCCCGGGAGGATTCGAACCTCCTCCTCTCCTCAGTCCAGCACAAAGTACAAACATTGTAAAGGCGCGATCACCATGATCATCCAGGGCTTTCTAGTGCTCATTTTACCTTTACCCTACCTGAGCGAGATTCCTTCTCTGTCGGTTAACTTGCCGATATGGTGATTCAACTAATTTTAGGGGGGGAATGGAGTGAACACCCAAAAGTCAACTAAATCGACGGTCACAAAGCTCCGAACCAAAACAAAAAACAAAAAATTTAAGAACAGCGGGAACATGTCCTGGGAAGGAATCGAACCTCCGCCGTCCTCATTTTAATTGCATTAACTGCAGTTATGAATGCAAAGAGGACTGATCGCCATGACCAACCAGGACTTTCTAGTCCTCATTTTACCTGCATCTTAACTGGGCAACTTCCTCTCCGGCGGGGGGGTCCCCGGTCCTTGCGTCAATCCGGCGGGTGCCGCACCGATTCAATTTTGAATTTATTTGAAATCCAATTACTGTAAACCACAATCGGGACAAAGTTCAATACCAATTTACCATCCGCTAAGCAAGTGCCAAGAAGAAAGACAAACCGGAAGATAAAAAGATAACACCCTCATAACCCAACGCACTCGGGGAGGAATCGAACCTCGGATTCCTTAATTCAACGTTCGAGGGTAACGACTCAGAGAAGGTTGATCACCACGATCTTTGAGGGCTTTATAGCCTTCGTTCGTGTCGCGGCCTCACCAGCGAAGTTTGAGCTCTGTATTTTACCTTCAACCTGAGCGGTGAAATTTTACACAATCCGTTATGGGGTATTTGAACGGGAGATAAAGTACCGAGCACTGCTGGGGCAGCCAACTTGCGGCCGACACAAGACAAAAAAGATTCCTTTGTGGAAACGAGGTCATACATGAGCCCGGGGGGAATCGAACCTCCGCTATCCATGGTAACTCCCAACACTCGCGGGAGTGGAGCACAGGGTCCACGAGGGCTGTATACCACACTTTAGATCTCTAGTGCATCTGAATCTCAACATGGATTACCGGCATGGAATGAATTCAAAATATGGCAATTAACAACAGGTCTAGCATATACTAGACAAGATCAAAAAGAATAAGAGCTGTAGAAGCTGTTAAGGTCTGAAAATAAGGCTGTTAACTTGTGCCGAGGTGGAATCAGCCCACAGGCAGGCTCGGCACAGTGAAGCCAGACTTTTCTGGCTGCATGATCAAAGATGCCGCGGTGGAAAGCTGGTGCCATCGGCGGACCTTAAAAGGCTTCAGACAGACAGGTGTAATCTTATAAAGAGAGTGATACATCAATATATACATGATAATCTTCCCCTCTGACGGAGTGGGTTCGTTCCCCAGGTGCTCGCATTTTAAAGCCCCCCCCCCCCCCTCCCCCCACAAAAAAAAAAGAACTTGATACGGAGATGGTCTCGGGAGGAATCGAACCCCCGCCGTCCTCATTCCAACTCAACATTTACAGCCACGTATGCAAAGAAGACTGATCGCCACGATCCACCGGGGCTTTCTTGGGGGTATCTTACGTTCATATTACCTGGGCGAAATTCCGCCTTGGCCAGTTATCTCGCCGACATTGTGATTTGATTGATTGTGATTTGATTGATTCTAAGTGAAGACCCAAAAGTTAACCAAATTACATCACCCCAGGATGTGCCGTTGTTTCCGGCGAGGAGACAAACATCTTCCACCGTCAGGGAGCCTAGAACTCCGAACCAAACGAAAAAAAGAAGAAAAAATCTAACCGAGGCGATCCATGTCCTGGGGAGGAATCGAACCTCCGCCGTCCTCATTGTAACTTTCAGCAGCCCCGAATGCAGCGAGGACTGATCGCCACGATCTACCAGGACTTCCTAGTTCTCACGATGCCCACCTTTTACCCCCTACAAAGTTCCTCTCTCCGGTGGGGGTGTTTTTGCGATTTGGCGAGTGCTGCACCAATTCAATTGTGAATTCATCTGGGATCCAATTAAACCACAATGCGGAGAAAGTTCAATACCCAGAACATCCGCTCAGTAAGTACCAAGAAGAGAGACCAACAGAGAAAAAAAAATCCCTTTCACTTGTCATCCCACGCCCTCGGGAGGAGTCGAACCTCCGGATTCCTCAATTCAACAGTTTGAGCCCGATGACTCAGAGAGGATAGATCACCGCGATTTACGAGGGCTCCATAGGCTTTATTTGTATCCCAACCTCACTAGCAGATCGTGGGCTCTGCACACAACACCAGAAAAAAGTGGTCCTAAAGCCTCCAGACACCCCGGGGAGGAGTCGAACCTCCGACCCTTTAAGTCATTCGATGCAACCCTGGACATGCAACAGGAGTGACCACCGCGGTCCACAAGGGCTTACTTTCTATGCTTGTTTATTTCCTCACATTGCCCGGGAGTGAAACTCACACTGGGCCTCGAAACCCTCAATCAACTCAAACTTAACGTTGACGTGCAGCGCGATAAAAAACGTTAACAGGGGGGTGTGACGAGGCACGTCAGCGAAGAAAAACTTAGACCCACTGGTGGGCTATACTGTACTTTTTCGTTCAAATTGACAGTCACCCGTCACGCACCCCCCTGTCGATGTCGAATATCGGTCGAGGTAACACGTCACGAGGGCCTCCGTCGAATTGGTCGAATGTTGGTCACGCAAGCCAAAAATTCTATAGAATAGCAGAAAGAGCATCCTGGCCTTTGGTAGTCACTTTCCAGCAAGCTTTCGACCATTTCTCAACCTTCTGTTGGGACTTGGCCTCTACAAGCTCAGATTTTCAATGTCTGGCTGAGTTCATGCCTTAAATTAGCCTGGAACAGGAAATTTCCCCTTCAGGCTACCCTGACCAGACCCCCTAAGGGGTATTTATTTTGCCAACTTAATTAACCCAAGAGGGGGGTATTCGGGCAGGATATCCCAGTATAGTGGGACATCCCACCATTTGAGTGGGGGGACAGTGGAAGTATATCCCATGTGGGACATCCCAGCCCGCCGTAGGCGGGAGAAAATTTTTGGGTTTCCGACGTCCCATAAGCTATTTTTGGAGTAGGACCCCAGAACACCAGTTCATCAAAATATCAAAAGGGGTGTACCGGGGGCATCTGTAGACCGTTTCGGCTGTGAGTAGGCTCATTTGAAAGCCCTTCGCGAGGGCGTTCTGTGGGTGCAGTGGGGGCCCCATTGGGAGACCTTAAATTTTCACCGTATCCGGGCCCGAAACCATTGAAATGGCTCTGCAGCAGGCATACCGCATACGGCCACCGTTCGCCCTGGGAGTAGGCTTGTCGGTGACTGTAGACCCAGGGCCATTGGTGGGTGCAATAGCACATGAATCCGAGCACTTTTATTTTCATAGCAACTGTGCTACCATTCGGCCTGGTAGTAGCTTGACAGTAACCGTAGACCCAGGGCTATTGGTGGGTGCAATAGCACATAGATCCACGCACTTTCCCTTTCCTTCGAATCTGCTCTGCAGCAGGCATACGGCCACCGTTTGGCCTGGTAGTAGGCTGGTCGGTGAGCATGGACCCATGGCTATCAGCGGGTGCAATATCACACGGATCTAGGCACTTTCATTTTCTTCGAATCTGCTCTACAGCAGGCGTCTGACCACCATTCGGCAGAGTAGGCTTGTCGGTGACTGTAGACCTAGGGCTATCGGTGGGTGCAATAGCACATGGATCCGAGCACTTTCACTTTCCTTCGAATCTGCTCTGCAGCAGGCATACGGCCACCGTTTGGCCTGGTAGTAGGCTGGTCGGTGAGCATGGACCCATGGCTATCAGCGGGTGCAATATCACACGGATCTAGGCACTTTCATTTTCTTCGAATCTGCTCTACAGCAGGCGTCTGACCACCATTCGGCAGAGTAGGCTTGTCGGTGACTGTAGACCTAGGGCTATCGGTGGGTGCAATAGCACATGGATCCGAGCACTTTCACTTTCCTTCGAATCTGCTCTGCAGCAGGCATACGGCCACCGTTTGGCCTGGTAGTAGGCTGGTCGGTGAGCATGGACCCATGGCTATTGGTGGGTGCAATATCACACAGATCTGAGCACTTTTTATATATGACCCATGGCTATTGGTAGGTGCAATCAAGTTGCTTCGAATTATTGACTTTTACATGTATAGGTATGTGGCTTATTGACTGTGCAGGTGCATGGCTTATCACCTTGTGTCTGTGTTTACCGCTTGACTTTTACTTGTTTGCCCCCCGATACAGGTGTGACATGTGACATGGGATGTCCCACACATCCATATATATTTTCGAATGCATAAGGGACATCCCATACTGGCAAGGGATATCCCATACTGGCAAGGAATATCCCATACAGGTAAGGGATATCCCACACAGGCAAGGGATGTCCCACACACATCATGGGACATGCTCACACCTCCCACATGCCATGGGATGTCCTATTATGCATCTATGGGATGTCCCTTTGATTATTATCAATGTGGGACATCCCACAAGACCACCATGGGATGTCCCACCATTTTTGCATGTGGGACATCCCATAGCTCCATTGGCATGGGACATCCCACCCTTTTTTTTCTTACTGTGGGATGTCCCACCATTATTTTCAACATGGGACATCCCATAGATACATTATCATGGGACATCCCACCCTGTTTATTTTTTTAACTGGTGGGACGTCCCACAGTTATCTTAACATGGGATGTCCCATAGTCACTTTGGTATGGGACATCCCATGCTGTTTACTCTTCTACAGTGGAACATTCCAATTTTTCTTAAATGTTGCAAAGATGCATACTTGTGTTAGAATTGTTCAATACTTCACATTATAACCTTAATTTGCAATATACATATCTCTTTTACATTTTAAAGCCTCACAAGTACCTTCACTGCACGTCTTCCTTCTTTATTTCCGATTTTTGGTCATCTTTCCAAATCTGGAAACTCAACGCCAGTGTCCTAAAAAGGAAGTTCAGATTTGGTGAAATTTTTTGAAGCAATTTTTTTTCCCCCACCCTTTCTTCATGAAACATCTATAACATCTATATAAAGTAGTATCAGTACATGAGAATTTATGTTCCTCTTTGACTCCAAAGTTTCGTCGTTGTTTCCCAATTCGGACACTCAATGCCAACGTCCCAAAAAGGAACTTCCGACTTGGCGAAATTTTTCGAAGCAATTTTTTTTTTTTTTTTCATTTCTTGTTGAAACATATGTAGAACACCTCGTGACTGGAAGTTCGCCCTCTTTCCAGAACTCAACACCGACCTCTCAAAAAGGGAGTTTCGACAAGAACTTGTATTGCAACGCAAAGAACCGGTAAAGAAAATTCATATTTAAACAGAAACTGACGTCTAAACTACTCAATGAAACACGAAGCCGCAGGCGCTAAG